TCTCTCTCTCTCTCTCTCTCTCTTTCTTTTTTGCTCCCGGGATTGAATTTAGGACTCTGCACTTGCCAGGCAATCACTTATTCTACTGAGCCATCTCCCTGGCCCTGTTTTTCTGATTTCTGCTCTATCCTCCTCTAAGTGTGGGTCACACTTAGCTAGATATCCCACTACTTGGCTGTTCTGGGTTAGGATATCTTCCTCTATCCCTGGGACTAAGTTTGTCAGTACTCAGAAATGGGTGCTGACTGGTGGACTGATAGCTTGTAGCTCAGTGAATATAGTCTCCTCTCCTGCTGGAGCCTGGAAGCTGGGGTTTTCTAAGACTTCAGAACCTCAACCTGCATGCTTGCGCCCTCACCTTGGTTCCCTTTCTCACACTGCCTCCTCCCACACACCACAGCCACCCTGGAGAAGCCCACATTGTCTCTACATCCACCTTGGACCACAATCTTCAAGGGCGAGCGGGTAACCTTGCGGTGTGATGGGCACTACCCTCTGCTCCTGGAGCTGCGACCCATCAATACTCTCTGGTATTTGGGCCACCTACTACTGCCTTCTCACAAGAAGAGCATCGAGGTACAGACCCCAGGGGTGTATCGATGCCAGACACGGGGAGCACCAGTCAGCGACCCCATCCACCTGTCTGTATCTAATGGTGAGTGATCTGAGCATGGGCAGAGGAGGCATGAATGGATCATCATCTGAGGAAATTGTCCTGCTAGGGAGGACAGTGGACCATTTCCAAGAGACAGGAGACAAGGGCCATACTGAGACCTATCTGAGACCTATCTTGAGTCTCTGGAGTAGGCAGAGGCCTGCGTGATGTTATGAAAGAAATGAAATAAGATTTGCCTAATCCCAAAGGTCCCTGCAAACCTGTTTGTTTCTCAGACCAGCTGAGAAGGCTAGAGACTATGAGGACCTGAGATACTGGACAGATAACTCTGGGGATGGGGGGAAAGGGAAGAGCAAAACAGGAAGAATGAACAACCCTGGGTGGGTGGAGCACAGCAAGAGGAATTAATCCCAAATGGTAATACTGTGGGTCTCTGTGTGTCAGTGTCCATACCAATAACACAGGGACACTGTGGCACCACCTATAATTCCTGTACTTGGAAGGTGATAGAGGAGGATGGTGAATTCAAGGCCAGCCTGAACTACACAGCAACACCTTATCTCAAAGAGAGAATATTTGACCAAAATTATAGTACAGACATGTTTACATGTATATTGGGGGATCAACTGAAACTGACTTCGGAGCTATTTGAATGGTTTCAAAATGGGATAAGAGCAATAATCATTTGCTAAATAAGGTACAGAATTGATACCTTTATGGTGAATATATAATTTTAGCTTCGTAGGCCAGTTTGTACTCAGAATTTAAGAGACATTGCTTGGTGTTCATATTAGCACTTACAATCATACTCTGAGGGTTTCTGTTTGGGCATTGATAGTGAGAGTAATAATGACACTGACTATAATAGATTATGGCTACTACTTAGAGGTCTGAGAGTTACATATGGCTTATGGCACTTCTTCGTGGAATTGTTTTTCAATGTGTAATATCCAAAATGGATCTGGGGGCCAGGGAGATGGCTCAGTGGAATAAGCGCTTCCCTGGCAAGTGCAAGGGCCTGAGTTCAATCCCTGGTTCTGCCAAAGAAAGAAAGAAAGAAAGAAAGAAAGAAAGAGAAAGAAAGAAAAAGAAAGAAAGACCAAAATGGATCTGGTGTGTGCTAAGGCTATTAAGTGCTAGCTATGATCATGATGGAGATTGGTTAAGTACTTGGTGCTGCTAGAGATATCTAAGGATGTCTCGGGAGTGTCTGGGAAGTTGTATTCAGTAAAGTCTAAACTTAGACATGCAGCACAAGTAGGCCACAACTTAAAATTGGAGGTGGGTCATCTCTGCTGAGGAAACAGCATGTACAAAAGCCCTGGGGTCAAAGCAGAGCCAGTTCTTCCAGACTTTCCTGTAGCTGGAGCCGGTGATGAATGAACAGTGAGAAGGGTAGAGAGGATGAGGAGAGTAGGGAAAATACTGAGAAGGTATTGGAGCCATGACAGGCCAGGTCAGGAAGGCCCTGAGGCCACCCAGAGGAGTTTAAATTTGAAGTTAGACATGGTGGTGTGGGCTTGCATAGCAGTCCCTCACTATTTTGCAGTTCAACTTTCATGGACTCACTGTTTTGTGGGTTTTCAAAAAAATTAATCTAAACTATTTATTGTGTATTTTTTGCTATATTGTAGGATTTTGCAGTACCATACAGTAT